GAGGTTTGTTTTAGCATTAAATGAATTCATTTACCGAGGCCTCCTGAGTATACATTCCAACTTAAAAAAGGCATTTAAATGGTGAGCAATAGAGATCTGTAATTTTCTTGCCTGTAGCGAATTTGCATTTGTCTTAGTGTGACGTAACTGTGGCTAGCATTCTTTTACTGATGTAAGTTACTTTTCTCCATGCAGATTTGCTGGTCTCCTATATTGTGCAGGTCTTATCTTTGGCAGTTCGGGGATCTTTTGATATTCTCTACTTCCTGCCTGAAGAAAAATCACTTCCACTCCACAGGTGATGGGGGAGGCTCAGCGGAACTTAGCTTTCCATCTACAGAACAACCCCGACCTGTCTTCTGCTCTAGTGAGACAGAGGCTGCCAAACCTACTCACAGCTCCTGTGTCTTCCATCCTCCCTCCCCAAAGAAATGCTGCTGAATCTGCCCTTTCAAAACTTAAGAACTGAACAAAAAAACAAAATTCAGTAAGCACAGCTAAAATACCAACAAACACTCATTAACTACCTGCTGTTGGCCAGGCTCTTACATTTACATTTAAACTGAAAACCAAGCGAAGAACAACTGAGCAGTAGAGCTGTAGCCCTGGGAAAGACATACACAAAGGCATTTAGAGAAGAGGAAGGGACAAAGCTGGAATAAAACGAAAACTATTTTGGAGACAAATCTGCAAGCTTTATTGAAGGACTAACACACTGACCTGGAGACAGGAGGAAAAGTGAGGAAAGTCTCCATTTCAACCTCATTTTCTTTCTTTCTTTCTTTTTTTTTTTTGACAATCAAAACATCGCCTTTATTTTTTTTTTTCTTTTTCTTTTATCTTTCTGGCTTGACTTTATTTTTTTCCATTTTTTTTTTTAATTTTTAACATCATTGTTCATTTTTAAACAATATTTGCTTCCCCCCACCCCCTCAGGTGTAGTTCCCATAGAGTTTCCTTCACCAAGGCACCCGTGCACCATCACCTCAGTCCCCCGGGCTCCTCCCTCCCTCCCTCTGATCCCTCTCCCGCCTCCTCCCCTGCAGTGTCTCTGATTTATAATTGTCCATTTTTGCTTTGTTATGTTTTGTACTGTTGTTATTTTTCCACACTGATGTCTTACATTCCTGCTCTAAGTAGAAACCATCTGATATTTTCTTTTTCCCTTCTGGTTTACTTCACTGAGCATAATTCCATCTAGTTCCATCCACGTTGTGGCGAATGGCAGGAGTTTACCTTTTTTGATTGCTGAATAATATTCCATTGTGTATATACACCACATCGTCTTGATCCAGTCCTCTATTTTTGGGCATTTGGGTTGTTTCCAGGTTTTACCTCGTGTAAATAGTGCTGCAATAAACATAGGGGTACAGGTGTTCTTTTGAATCAATGTTTTTGTGTCCTTTGGGTAGATCCCTAGGAGTGGAACTGCCCGGTCGTATGGTAGCTCCATTTTCAGTAGACTGAGGAACCTCCAGAGCGCTATCCATAGTGGTTGCGCCAGTTTGCGCTCCCACCAGCAAGGCAGGAGAGTTCCTTTTTCGCCACATCCTCGCCAACTTTTTTTGTTGCTTGTTTTTTTGATATGTGCCATTCTTACTGGTGTAAGGTGGTATCTCAATGTGGTTTTAATTTGCATTTCCCTGATTATAAGGGATGTTGAACATTTTTTTCATATTCTTGTTGGCCATTCACATTTCCTCTTTGGAGAAACATCTTTTAAGTTCTTCTGCCCATTTCTTGACTGGATTGTTTATTTTGTTTTTGTTGAGTCCTGTGAGTTCCTTGTATATCTTTGTGATAAGTCCCTTCTCAGTTGACTGGAGTGCAAAGATTTTTTCCCTGTCAGTGGGGTGTCTCTCTGTTTTGGTTAATGTCTCCTTCGCTGTACAGAAGCTTTTCAGTTTGATGTAATCCCAGGTGTTTATCTTTGCCTTCACTCTCACTGCTTTGGGTGATAAGTCTTTAAAGATGTTTCTGAGATGTATGTCTTATAGGGTTTTACCTATATTTTCTTCTATATATTTTATAGTTTCAGGTCTTATGTCCAGTTCTTTTATCCATTTTGAGCTGATTTTTGTGCACAGTGAGAGGTAGTGGTCTAGTTTCATTTTTTTGCATGTGGTGGTCCAGTTTTCCAAGCACCATTTATTGAACAAACTGTCCATGTTCCATTGCATATTCTTTGCTCCTTTGTCAAAGATCAGTTGTCCATATAAATGTGGTTTTATTTCTGAGCTCTCTATTCGGTTCCATTGGTCTGTGTGTCTGTTTTTGTTCCAATACCAAAACTGTTTTAATTATTATGGCTTTGTAGTATAGCTTGAAGTTTGGAAGTGTGATACCTCCTTTCTCCTTTGTTTTCACGAGTAGGGCTTTGGCTATTCGTGGTTCTTTGTGGTTCCAAACAAATTTCATCAGTATTTGTTCTATTTCTTTGAAGAATGTCATTGAGATTTTTATTGGAATAGCGTTGAATCTGTATATTGCTTTTGGTAGGATGGACATTTTAATAATGTTAATTCTTCCAATCCATGAGCAGGGAATGTCTTTCCATTTCTTCGCGTCTTCTTCTATTTCTTTTAACAGTGTTTTATAATTTTCTTTGTATAGGTCTTTTACCTCTTTTGTTAGGTTTATTCCCAAGTATTTGATTTTTTTGTTTCAATTATAAAAGGGATGGTTTTCTTAATTTCTTCTTCTTCAGACTGATTGTGTATAGGCAGGTTACTGATTTTTGTGTGTTGATTTGGTATCCTGTTACTTCACTGAACTGGTTGATTATTTTGAGTAGTTTTTCTATGGAGTTTTTAGGGTTCTCTATATATTATCATATCATCTGCAAATAGTGATAGTTTTATTTCTTCTTTCCCTATCTTGATTCCTTGTATGTCTTTCTCTTGTCTTAGTGCCCTGGCTAAGACCTCTAGTATTATACTGAAGAGCAGTGGTGAGAGAGGACATCCTTGTCTTGTTCCTGATCTTAAAGGAAAGGCCTTCGGCTTTTTACCATTGAGAATAATATTGGCGGTGGGTTTGTCGTATATGGCTTTTATCTTGTTAAGGTATGTTCCTTCTATCCCGAAAATTTCAAGGGCCTTCATCATAAATGGATGTTGGACTTTGTCGAATGCTTTCTCAGCTGTTGGAGGCGGCCACCCCGCGTAGTGAGCAGAAGGACCTTGACCCAAGTCCCTAAGGGATGTGAAAACACATGCGTCTCAGAGGAAAACCTATGAGTGACAGGACTTGGTGTTGAGAGCCTGGAAAGTGACCTGCTTGGAGTCAGGCTTCTACATCTCCACAGTCTGAGAATAACAAAATGGAAAGACTCTTTGCAGTGAGCAGAAGGGCCTTGGCCTGAGTCCCTGAGGCATGGAAAACACATCCATCTCGGAGGAAAACCTCTGGGTAACAGGACTTGGTGTTGAGGGCCTGGAAGTGACCTGCGTACATCTCCACAGTTTGAGAACAACAAAAATAATGAGCGAACTTCCCAGACTCTGGCTAGGGGGTGATAAGATTATGTGCGTGAGAACTAACCACCTGGTACCCTACTGTCTGAAGTAAATAGATAATAGTAAGAAAATAGACTAATCACTCATGCATGTTATCATTACATGGTATGCTTTGATGTTACACCTGCTGCAATTAAAATAGTATATAATGAGCACTAAGAAAATAAAGATTTACTGCATGCTGGACATGACAGTCCCCCATGTCTGATTTCCCTCACTGTTGTGTCCCAGGTTCGGACTCACCGGAAGTCCACACTCAGCATCTATTGATATGATCATATGGTTTTTATTTTTCTTTTTGCTGATGTGTTGGATTATACTGATCGATTTTCATATGTTGAACCATCCTTGTGACCCTGGGATGAATCCCACTTGATCGTGGTGTATTATCCCTTTGATGCATTGTTGGATTCTGTTGGCAAGGATTTTGTTGAGGATTTTTGCATCAGTGTTCATTAGGGAGACTGGCCTGTAATTTACTTTTTTGGTGCTGTCTTTGTTTGGTTTTGGTATTAGTGTAATGTTGTAGAACGTATTTGGTAGTATTCCTTCTTTTCCTTTTTTTTTTTTTTTTAAAGATTTTATTTTTATACAAGAGCTGGGGTACAGGCCAGAGGCACGGGAGAGTTAGAGGATTCACCATTCACCAGAGGCAGAGCGGGGAGCAGAACAGGCAGACAACCGAAATACACTGCTGAGGGGAGCAGCAGGCGCAACAGGAGAGATCTGCTACACCATGTAAGATTCTCGCCAGCGGGCTGGGATTGAATCCGCACTGCAGAGGCTTCAGACAGCTCCACAGCGCGGCACTCAACCCTCTGCGCCAGTGGGGAAGCCCCCTTCTTTTTCAATTTTTTGAAAGAGTTTGTGTAAGTCAGGCACTAATTCACTGCTGAACATTTGGTAGAATTCATTTGTGAAGCCATCTGAACCTTGGCTTTTGTTTTTGGGGAGTGCTTTGAGTACTGCCTCAATTTTGCTGCTTGTAATTGGTCTGTTTAGGTGTTCTATTTCTTCTTTGTCCAGCTTTGGATGAGTATATCGTTCTAGGAATTTGTCCATCTCTTCTAGGTTGTTGATTTTGTTTGCATGTAAGTGTTCATAGTAATCTCTGATTATTCTTTTGATTTCTACTGAGTCTGTTGTAATTTCTCCTCTTTCATTTATAATCCTATTTTTATGTGTTTTCTCCCATTTTTTCTTTGTGAGCCTGGCTAGAATCAACCTCATTTTCTTTATACAGATGCCTTAAGAGCCACAAATTAATATTCCCAAAGTGCTTACTGATAAGCTAAAAGCAGAATGTTAGTCACAAATCAAAAAGCAGGCACAGAGTTACAAAAAAGGTCAATGTATGAGAAAATACTCAACTAAAATTCAGTCTCTGCAATATTAGTAACTTTGCATCAAACATTAATATCAAAATTATTTTTAAAAATTAGTTAAGACAGTCAAGTCCTTGGTAAACATCACGCAACTTACGATATTTACTGTGAATTTCATCTATTTCTTTTTCCGTTTGGTCTTTTGTAAAAACCATTACCTAAAATGCAAAAAATAAAAATAAAAATTTATTAAAAATCCAAAAATAGAAATTAGTACTATGCACTTTAAATTTTCAAATGTGGATGTTTAAAAGAGAAAAAGAATCTCTTATTTTTGTATTATTTAGGTCTCAGAAGAATAACTTCCTCTGTACTTCCCTTAGATATCATAACTAATACATGTTTTTACTCATTACTTTTTTCCTATCAGTAATATAGGAAATATAAGAAAATGCCACACTGATGTAATTAGAATCTATGAAGAAAATGGTCAATTAGCTTTCCTATTTTCAATATTTAATTTTTTACTTACACTAGTAATAGCTGCAATTTCAAGACTAAGGAGACATTTATCAGAACCTTAATAAGGCAGAACTCCTTGGTTGCCTTGTTTTCCAACCTAATGTCTCCAGGTCTATGACATAGGTAATACAAAGATTAAATGAGCAATACAAGACTTGGTATATTAAATCTAGTTGTACTTTCTAAAATCTTAGACTTAAATGATCAGAAATCTACTTACATAATACATTACAGTCTTCACCTTACAGTCAGCACACAGGTAATAATAAAGTCAACGGAAAAAATAGCATTTTTTCCTACTACCTGATTATAAACTTACTTCCCTAAGGTCGTTGCCTTCTTTACAAACATATTAGCAGATGATCTAGAAAAAAAGTCTACTTGGGAAGGCCCAAAACACTTCCTCCAGTGTCATAGGACACAATGTCTACTTTCTTCTTTGGTATTCTTTCCTCAAGTTTTGGACATTCAGGCTAGAGGAAGGCAATAGTGAAGAAGTTTAGGTCTCTGAGCCCCTCAATGAGCTCAACACAGTCCTCACAAATTCTCAGTTACTTAATTTCTCCATCGGTGTCATCACAGAACTGAAGAATGTCAGAGCTAAGAGGGGATCTTAGAGATCATGTGTCCAAGCCCTGAGATTTACAGATTAAGATCGTAGGGGCCACAGAGGTTGAACAGTTTATCATATGCAACCCGCAGAGAAAGGACAGTATCAATGCTACCTGATGTATAAATATGTGATTTTTCCCACATAGCTATAATTAATAAACGCTACTGTAAATTGCATTTTGTATTAGAAGACTATTCAACAGAATATTATTTTGTGCCAAAAAACAGTTGCAAGTAAATAATAATATATTATATGGATATGTGTTATATTTACCACCACAGAGCTATAACACTGGCTTTTCTTTAATTTTAGTAGAGTATTAAACTTTTCTTTCCTAAATTCAAACCCCAGAATCTGAAATAAACCACCAACATACGCTTTCGTTGAGTTTACTGGCTTCAAGACGCATTCTAGTCTTCTCCATATTTTCAATTTCTTGAACTATTTCAGCAGCTGTTAAAATAAGGACACAAAGCCAATGTTGATTATATGGTCTTTACAAAAGCATTCTTTAAACCTGCACAGGTTCGCTTAGCTTCTTGAGAAGCTCTTCAAAAGTCACTGTAAAGAAAATGACAAGGCAAGCCACAGGTTCAGATATTCATAATGCATATTTGACAAATGAAGTAAACTCTTACAATATATAAAAAAAAGTAATTCGTGCTTAAAATATTTCAATGGTCCCCATAGGAAAGAAAACATAAAAACAGCAAATAAGCTTATAAAAAGATGCTCAACATTCTCAATCTCAGAAAAATGCAACTACCATGAGGTATCACTACACAGCCACCAGGACAAGAACCAAGAAGACTGAAATGCTAAGCCCTGACAAAGGGTACGGAGCATATGGATCCCTCAAACAATGCAAAAATGGTGCAGCCATTTGAAAAAGCTTGGCCACTTCTTACATTTTTAAGCATACACTTAGAGTATGATGCAGCAATTCTGAGCATTTACTCAATAAATAAAAATATATGGCTCTACAACGATCTGTAAGCCATATTCAAAACAGCGTTATCGCTAATAGCCAAAACCTGGAGATAGCCCAGCTGTCTAGACACAAATGTGGTGCAACCACAGCAGACATGCTCAAGAATGAAAATGAATAAATGAACTGATAAATGCTACATGGATAAACCTCACAAGCACTGTGCTAAGTCAAAGAAGACAGATACAAGATTGCATACTATACAATTAAATAACTCCAGTTATAAAAGGCAAAATTATTTGGACAAAAAAAAAGATCATTTTTCCCAGGACCCTGGAGTGAGGAGGAATTTACTGCACAGGGGCAAAGGAACTTTTGCAGGCAAAGGAAATGTTCCATATTTTGATAAAAATGATGGCTAGGATGATCATGTATACATTTGTAAAAACTCACCTAATATACTTTCAAAGGCCGAATTATATCACAAGTAAATTAAACCTCAATTTAAAAATGCATGCTTAAAAAGCAAATACAACAAGTTGTTGGCTACAAGGACAATATAAAAAAATCTGTTGCATTTTTATATACCAGCAACAAATATATAAACACTGATACTTTAAAATAAAACATCATTTAAATCATATCAAAAACAAATACCTAAGTCTTTAAAAAAAACAAAACTTCAATCAACAGCTATAAAACCTTACTGACAGAAATGAAAAGAAATAAATAAAGAAATTATCCAAGTTAATGGATTAGAGACTTGAATACTATACAGACATCAACATTCCCAAACCTATAGATTTAACATAACCCCAATAAAAAAAATCAGTTTTGATTCTTAGAATATATAAGCTTATTCTAAAATTTATATAAGACGTGTTAAAGAGCCCAGGAATCCTAAAAGAACAACAAAGTTAGAGGAACTACACGGTCAGACAGCAAGATCTATTACAATTCTCATAAAGTAATTAAGACAGTACACTACAGGCACTAGGACCGACAAATGAGTCGATGGAACAAAACACCCAGGTCCCAACATTCTCAATCAGGGCTATTCGGTGAGAAAAGGACAGTTTTTCAATAAATGGTCCTGCACCAATCGGCTATCTACATGGAAAAACAAAAGAATTTCACCCCCTACTTCAAAACATATGCTAATATCCATTCTAGATAAATATCAGGTTGAAATGTAAAAGCAAAATCAATAAAGCTTTTCCAAAAAAGGGAGAAATCCTTATTGCGGTAGTCAATGACATAAAAAGGATATAAAAAGTACTAGCCAAAAGAAAACTGCAACAGATTGGATTATATTAAAATTACAAACTTCTACTTCTCAAATGAAGCCATTAAGAGGTGAAATCCAGGGCCTCCCCTGGTGGCGCAGCAGTTGAGCGCTGGGCTACGAAGCTACCCACAGCCTCTGCAGCGCTGGTTCGATCCCTGGCTGCCAGCGAGGGTCCCACATGGTAGGCAGAGCTCTCCTGCCACACCCACTGCTCCCCTCAGCAGTGTATTTCGTCGGTCTGCCTGCTCTGCTCCCCGCTCTGGCTCTGTTGAATTCTCTCACCCTCCCGTGCTTCTGACTGTACCCAGTGCTTGTATAAATACATAAACAAATCTTTAAAAGAAAAAAAAGAGGTGAAATCGAGCAAGATTTGCATCCAGAAAATTTCATGTACTCCCACAAATAAGTAACAATAAATCCACAGCATAGAAAAATTAGGCTTACATGGGATTTCACCAGAGAGGATGTCCAGATGGCCAATAAAGCATATAAAAATGTGCTGAACACTACAAGTCACTAGGGAAGTACAAATTAAAACTATAATGAGATCCACTAGAATGGCCAAAATGAAAAATTGACAATACTGATTTTGTCAAGGACTCAGAAAAACTGGAACATTCATACCCTCCAGATGAGGGTGTACCTTGGCACTGAAACTTTGGCCCTATCCATGAAAGCTGAACCTCTGCAAAAACCTAACAATTCTACTCCTAAATATGTACATCTAAAAAACATCTGTGCCTATGTGTATCAAGAGACATGCAAAAGATTATTCATAGCAGCATTATTCTTAAGAGCCAAAGAGTGGAAAAATCCAAATGTCCACCATCCATTGAATGGGTAAGCAGTGTGATATATTTATACAATGGAATACTCCACGGCAAAAAAAAAAAAAAAAAAAATCACAACTGTATACAAAATCATGGATGAATATTAAAAACACATTACATAAATGCAGACTCAAAAGAATACATAGCTATATATTATCCCACTTATATCAACAATATACAGGCAAAATGAGTAGCAGATGGTGGTCAGCTGTCAGAATGAAGCGGAGCGGCTGGGAAGGGGAAGGACATGGGCTTTGGGGGTGCTGGCACTGATTTTAAGGACAAACCATTTAACGGTGTGCTGATAATGTAACACTTCCATAAAATGGGTATGTCTGTACAGTGATCCTAACAGTGACATTTACTGAAGGCTAACCACTTGCTAAGGTACTCTGCCAGGTACTTTAAATGCATCTTTTCACTCATTTCTCTCAAAAACATTTTAAGGAAGTTGTATTATAGCTTTTAATTTACAGATGAGAACATTGGGGTACGGAGATATTAAGTAACTTGTCCAAAGTCAGTCAATCAGAAACCTACAAAACTGGGATCCTACCGGAGGCTCTCCTGTTCAACTCTTCACCCCACACGATCTCTGGAAAGACACAGGAAACAGCAGAGGCAGCAGGGGCCTCTGAAAAAGGAATGGCTGCAAGCCTGGCTGAGGAAGGAAGGCTGGCTTACCAAGTGTCCTAGGATCCTGCAGAAGCAAGACCTATCTTACCTATTATCAAAAATGCATTGATTAAAATCCCTCCCCCCATGGCTCATTATCCCCAAGCAGCACAAACTGCCTTATTAGAAGAAAAGCACAACCCACCGCTGTGTCACTTTACCTGACTTCGGATGCAGAGCATCGCACTGGGCATTGTACATGTGCACAAACTCCTGGTGCCTTTTAATGAGCTGCTGTTTATTTCCTTGAACAGATAATCCATGCTGTTTTAGCTTTTTTTTTAAATCGCGATCTGAGAGCAAGTTATATACGGTTTTGGGCAGTGGCTTCCTTTTGTGAACAGAACTAAAAAGGGAAAAAGATCAGAGACGGTGATTGTGAATTATCAAATGCCTTCCACAAGCAGTAATTTATCTTCTGACTCAATGCTAAGGTGACTGGGAAACAGCAGAACCATTAAGATAAAAAATGGGAAAGAGAAGGAGGATGCAATCCACAAGCAAAGTTGGCAGTGTTCAACGCGCAGTACCCAGGGTGCCGGCGGCACACGCAAGGGAGGGATCAAGGTGGCAGCCAAGGGGAGCGGCCCGTCGGGGCGGCAGCCTGGAGACCCGCAGAGAGGGCTGGTGCACTGAATATGAGAACTCCCTCTGGAATCACATTTATGTAGATTTACATTTTTCCAAAAATACGCCCACAGTTTTCGTGCAAAATCTCCGTGAAAAAAGTTATCCCAGATGATTGGAACACAAATGCCACTGAGAGCCAGGTTCTGGATTGGATAATAGTATCGCGTACAGCTTCTTTAGAAAAAGTTCTGATCCATGGACACAAGTGCCCCCCCAAGCCCGAGGCAGTCACTTAGCCAAAAGCATTGGATGAAATAAAAGAAGGCCTAACTGACGGCTAACTTTCCCACTCATTACCACCACCGAGCGAGCAGCCAGAAAGCGGGCAGGCAGTGGATTCCTGTGGCGTCATCTACAAAGAACACAGCGGAAAACAACAGCAAAAGCACCAGAGATTTGTTCTCTTCAACTTCAGTTAATCTTAATAATATATGGGGTATTATAATAAACTTATTAGCAAAATTACCACTTGGCTCTTCACTTTATATAATTAACACACTCACAAGCACTAAACTGTAAGTCTACATATAACAAAGCCCTATTTAAAAAAAAGGCAAGTAAATAGTCTTTATTAAAATAGAATCGAATTCAAGCTAAGGATATCAACGACTTGAGACAACTTTCCAACGGCAACTCCTTAGAGAGTGTATCTATTTAATCTGATTTATAACACAGTTCTGAGTACATGGCTGACTCAGTGTTATGGCAATATGTAGTTAAGGTCGTCATTACAAGCACAATGCAAAATGATTTTGTAATAAATAAGACTGTCAAAGGTTCAAGTAAAAATTTACAGGAACTTAAAAAGTAACAGATTTATCCAAAACCCAAGACTTTACAAAAACTCGCATATAACCAGTTCACACAAGGCTACGCTACCTAAACTTCAGCCCACCTCTAAATCACCTGGCAAGCTTATTTAAAATGCAGGTTCTCAGTCCTTGCTCCACATCAACCTACCAATTCTGATTCAGTCCTGAAGTAGAGACCCTGAATTCTACCTAACCACGGTTCCACAAGGCACATTGGAGGCCAATGGTCCAGGGACCATGCTGAGAGAAATGCCATGGTGGGCACAGAGCAGATGCAAGCAGACTTCTAGACTGACCAACAGAACTACTGCCTGGCTAAATTACCTTTTTTTTTTTAATGGTTTATCAATAAAGTCTAAAAGCCAGAGATAAATATTTAACTGTAGAAAGACCTGCAAACCCTCAACAGATTACATTTTTCTAAAAAATTGCTCTTATAGTCCATTAGATTCTAAGGCTGATAAAATCACGGCAAAATAAAATCATAGCAGGCAGCCAAGAGCTGAAGCATTTTACAGTTTATACAAGCAAACTGGGGGGACAACTCATTAATGCATTAAAGCTGGATCTAAAACATTTATTTTACCAAGGCTAGATGATTAAACTTACGACTAAGGAATTCTAATGGAAATCTCAACTATTCAATGACATTTATCATGAAAAGAACCACACTAATTGACAATTTCCATCAAGAAATTTCAATTATGAAGGCTAATAAGTGTTTGCCACAAGAAGAAAATGACAGTGATCTTTCTTCTACGCTTTAGTGAGACTGAGTAATGCATCTAAAGGCCCTTCACAAGGAAGCCTGTTCTCCCCATCAGCTCTGATGGGAATGTACATCCAAGGGTTGAAGGGTTGTTTGCCACTAGTCAGTCAGGGTGTGGTGGAGAAAATTCCTAATATGTTGGAGACTATTATATGGCCCAGAACCCAGGACCAGGATGTAACTAACAAGAAATGTGGCTTCAGGTTTCCCTAAGTGTATCTTCGCAAACACTAGTTTTGCAAGAAATAAGTTATGAGAGCAAAAAAATTGGGGGAGCAAATGAAAAAATCACTAAACAAAATGCAACAACTACCCTAGATGCAGGACTTGGCAAGAGCCTTCAGTGCACCTTCATGCACAGAAAATCTTTCCCTGGGAGCGAGGTACTTCAAGTGGCCCCAAAGAGCAACCGGCAGGCTACGGCAAGTCCCAAAGCAGGCCTGGGGCCCACTCCTGCAGCCTGAACTCAGTTATACAGGCTAAGTGTGTCTTTAGATAACCTGAGAGAGCCTATGGTGTTAGAAGAAATAAGATGGCTCATCTGAAAAAAGAGCAGCCCAAGGAAGATGATCAGAGCTAATATATCCTCACTATTCAAGGAGAAAATGCTCACTCTGTGTTCTCAACTCCTCCTTCAGGACGACGCATTTTTAAAGAAAACGCAGATCATTAGATTCTCATACTACGGAAATAATTCTTGCAAAGATCCACTTTTATTTCAAAGTTCAACAAACTATGCAAGCTAAAAATCTAAATTCCTTCTCATCGACAAACTTACCCAATAGGAGGAAGTTTCCTGCAGGCAAGACTGCACAGGCACCTGTTGCAGGTACCTGTGGCGGGATCTCAGGATACCCAGCAGGGATAGAGGGCAGGGACAAAGGGGCAAGTCAAGGCCTCTAGCTCCACCTGAATGGAGCAGAGCCAGTGTCACGTTTGCATGTGGTGGGTTGTTGAAAGATTTCACGGGGGAGGAGGGGGGTCTCTGCTAGGAGGACAGTTAATAATTCAGCTGAAAACACAACAGTAAGAAATGCCAGTTGCTGTCCCCCTCTGTAAAATAATAAAACATCACGTGCTTTCCATGATAGCTTTTGTAAGTCACCTCAGTATCAATCTGTCCCTTGGTACCTGTATTCACTCCAGATTTACCCATAAAAATTAAGTGACACCATTTTATCTTCCATCACAAAACCTAATACATTAGCCCTGCCTTTCAACAAGGTTTTTAGAAAAAGCCCCTCCAAGTCCTTCAAACACCAAACGTACAAGTCAATCACTCCATCACCCCCACCCTTGGGGTACTATTAATTCCTTCAGTTTCCTTTCCTCTTTTTTCCATCTCTCTCTGAATTGTCATCAACCCTCCCTCACTTCCCTCCCGTTTCAGAAGAAGGGTTCTGTACACATGTTGAGAAAAAGTTCATTACTAGACTCTTGATCTCCTAGGCTCCTGATTTGTTCAATCTACCATCTGCTCCCTCCTTGGAGACAGCAGAAGGAAAGAGACTGAAGGCTGAAACAATTTCTATTTTAAAAAAACAAAGGCTTCCTTGATCTTGATGCTTACTCCTTCCCCAAATCTCTCTCATCTCCTTCCATTCATTATCAGACTCCCCTAACAAGCAGCTTCTGCTTCCTTATCATCAACCACCTATTTATTCCTTAACCCTCCACAATTTAACTGGGACTAAAATTTCATCTGTAAACAACTTATATCTGTAACAATAGTGGCGAAGCCTAACAAATTACTATGACTCTGATGTATAAAAGACAAAGAACAGCTTTGACAACCTATGAGTTATGGCACTGATCTGAGGCAGGGGGTGGTGAGTTGGAAGGAGACATTACATTTCTCTCATGCCCTTATGTGCCATTTTGTCATTATATACATGGCTGCCTACTTAGAAAGTAGGGGAACAAGCTTGACTTAAAATGTGAAAACTTCAAAGCACCCTACGAATCAAAGATTTTATGTTTTCTATTTAGAGTCTAAGCTTGCTTTCTTTGGCCAAGGAGCTTTGTGGTAGCTGAATTCTAAGTCACTAATTTCAATTCAAATTTTACCAGTGGCTCGAATAGTCCACAGAGTTAATTATGTTTGGCAAGTGGGAGCTGAAGAAACAAGGCCAGGGAAAGGAGCCACAGGTTTATAGGATCAAAGGAAAAGCAAGTGGGAGTTGGCCCCTGACAACCAGTGGCCAGAAGACATGGACACTGCACTGCGCCCCAGGTCTGTGCAGCACAGGGAAGCCGAGCCGAGCCATCCACCAGATGCGCTTGGTCACTTACCTTCTGAGGCTCTCCTTCTTCTCCTCACGTGATAAACAGCTGTCGAGGTGCTTATTAATGTGATTTTCCGGAATACTAACTCCACAAACAGGACAATCCACTGTCATTTTCAGAAAGAGAAAAAGAGACTTTATTTGTAAAAAAGGCAAAAATAATTTGAGCTGGCATCTTTTTAACAATTAAGATAAAAAGGTAGAATCTCAACCTTGCCATGCGCTGAGAAAGGCACAAGAGGAAAAGAATGCAAGCAAGGGCAACAGGAGCGGGCCAGCCGGTGCCGGGTCATGGCCGCACTGTGGGCAGCCCCACCATCAGACACCTGCATCCAGCGGAAGAGACTGCAGGAAGTATGGAAATTTATCTCCCAGAAAATGTTTTGGCCAAACGATTGAACTAATCTTTATTTCCCCAAGTCTTAATTAAGAGTCACCCACATTAAGCGCTAAACCAGTCACAGCAAGTGAAGCACACCTCACTGAGGCAGGGCACAGGGTGCAGCCAGATTAAAGCATTTATTCGTTGGGGCCAAGGAATTTAATTTATCAGTGAATTGGTAATTCAGCACTAATTTAACTCCACTTGTGGTATAAGTGTAGCAATGTCTACAATGTGGTGACTGTCTGAAAGGTGCTCTGAAGGAAGTAAAAAAGACACAGAATCAGAGAAGGCTAAATACTCACCAAAAAGCTGAGCATGCTGTGCAAAAACACTATGAAATGAAGATATCAATACTAACATACCCAAAGAAAGTTTAGGATCTGGATATTCTAGAAAGGTAGAACAGGGGTTGACAAACATTTTTAGGGAAGGGGCAGGTGGTATATATGATGAACTTGCAGGGACAGGGCTCTGCCATCGAAGGGTGAAAATCGTCACGAGAGTAGGCAGACACGGGGCTGTGCTTATGCCAGTGGGTCTTTATTTACAAGAGTAGGTGGAATCAGACCTACATGGGGAGTTTGCCAGCCTGTACGAGGTGTATTCAGGGAATAGTGGAGGAGATCCACCTGGCTAGAATGGAAGGACTTTTCAGAGGCAGAGGAGAGAAACAATTAGGATGGGGATCAAATCCCAAAGGCTTTAAATGTCAGGTAGAAGAGCTGGGAAAGGTTCAAGCACAGGCAGACCAAACTGCTAGCTAATAAAACAGAAGGAGTTTTTTAAGATTGAACAGGATCTGACATGGAAGAAATGCAAAGCTAAAAAGCAGAAAGCTACTGCCACACTCAAAATATGAATGCACTGGAAATGCTTCGCTTTTGAAGCAAACAGCCTGAATTCCTATCCAAAGGGGGCCTACAGGCGTCTCTAGGACAGTTCGTGGTGGAATCTGATTTGCCCTCTCAGTCCTTCCCCTCAAAACTGCTGCCTCTTTATTCTTATGTCATGTGGGATGAGAAGACTTGGCACGTAAGGAAATACACGTGTGGGGCCTCCCTGGTGGCGCAGCGGTTGAGCGCTGGGTTGCGAAGCTGCCCGCAGCCTCTGCAGCGCGGGTTCAATCCCCGGCTGCTCCCCGGCCACCGGAGGAGGGTCCCACATGGCGCACAGACCTCTCCTGCCGCCCGCTGCTCCCCTCAGCAGTGTACTTCGGTCCTTCTGCCTGTTCTGCTCCCTGCTCTGGCTCTGGTGAATTCTCTCACCCTCCCTAGCTTCTGACTGTACCTAGTGCTTGTATAAACAAACAAACAAATAAATAAATAAATAAATAAAATGGAAAAAAATCTTTAAAAAAAAAAAAAAAGAAATACACGCGTGAAAGCATCGCCTACCTCTAGAGACTTGTTTCAAAGTCGACGTAGAGGGGGTCTCGGGAGCAGCAGCCCCGGAGGAGCCCGCAGCTGCCTTCTCTGCACAAGGCGTCTCTTTGGTGTCAGCAGAAGCGCTCGTCTCTTTCTGAGGACAGAACTTGCTTTCACTCTCTTTTATCAGCAACTCTGATGTAGAGCCAGCAGTTTCTCTGATCAAGAAATTCTCCATTAAGCTGCTTCCTTGCTTTAAAGAGGGTCTGAGGGCCATCGGCATGTGTGCTCTGGCAGCGAGGCTCTTTGAAGAGTTGGAGGCAGGAGATATGGGTGGTGACTCGAAGGCAAACTGCAGCAGATGACTCCTTGAAGTACGACAACACGGAAGGTAATTAAGAAATCAAGTTCTGTAGAACGAGCTAGCTGACATAAGCCGCTTTACTAATTAACACTTGCGCCTACAAAATGCAGAAGCTGCTTCACATCGACAACCAAACCAAAGTGCTTCTTCTAGGGTAAGACACAAAGCAGTACATCTGACTTAAAAAACAGTTCATCTGTCTGTGCAAGAAAACAGAGGGACTTCAAATTCTACCATGGAGAACAGCTGCACAAAATCTGGACAAAGCAACAAACAACTCTGCGTAAGTACGGCCCTTCATCCTCACTAGACTGCAGCCCCGAGAGAGAAAAAACATGTGGGCAGCTACGTCTTCCCAGGTCTTTCGTCGACTTAGGTATCAAACCAAAGCTGAAACAAGAGCCAGGACTCTCACTGGAAGGAGGGTCCAGAGATCAGAGTTATGGGCAAAGGTGGCCAGGACAGGAGGCTCAAAGGGCTGAACAGGACAGTCCCAGAAAGGGAAGCTTGAAGTCTGCTTACAAATTGCCATCAACCCCTGGTCGTCCCCATGATGGGACGAGAACGAGACGGAAACACAGGAGGCGTGGTGGGGCAGATGCTGGGCAGTCAGACTCCCAAAGGCAGCGCTGGGGCATTGTTGGCATTTGAGCCAAAGCTGAGAGACCCTGGTAAAGAGCCCGAACATCAAGGTGAACCCCCCCCCCACAAAGGTCATGCCCTAGGAAGAAGGACTACACCAGAATATGAACGAAATTGAAATAGACCAAACCTAAGAAAACAATAAAACAGGCCCCGAGAGAATAAAAGCAAAGTGTTGGTAATTTCATTGCCTGCAGAATATACATCAACATCTTTCAAAGGAAGAGGATTCAGACTCTGTAATGTTTTGCGCACGACGCTCACACACTTTAAAAGTGACATGTGCAAAGAAGAAAAATTAGCGACTAATCAAGAAATAAAACTAGGCAATGGAAGCAGACCCAGAGGTGACACAAGCAGCATTAGAAAATGAGAACTTCATAACAGCTATACTAAGGATACTAAAGAAAAAAGGCGAAAATACCAATGGACAGTGAATAGCAAAATGGAATTAAGATCCATTCCCAAGAGGATAAAACAAAAATGAAGCCCAGCCATGTCATCATCAAACTGCTGCCAAATGAAAAATGACAAGAAAGTCCTGCCGCACAGAACACATGGCATGTCGCCCCCAAGGTGGGCTCGGGGCTGGGTGGCAGCCCCTGAGTTAGGTCACCTCTGTGCTCCATGCATCGTTGAAGCACCCACAGAATGTCATGAGCAGACCCCCACCCCCACCCCAGGCTGAGGGAGCCAACCCAGATGGCACCGAATGAGCCCTGGGGAGGCAAAAGAGAAGACAGAATCACCTCCAGATAAGAGACACTGCTCTAAGGAGATGACAATGTCCCGCCGACCCGCAGCAAAACCCCGGGCGCAAGGTCAGAGAAGGACATGAGAATTGACAGAAAGAAACAGAATTCTGTGCTAATGAAAATATTCTTCCAAAATGAAAGCGAAATAAAGATATCCTCAAGCAAAGAAAAGCTACGAGCGTCCCTCACCAGCAGGCAAGGAATACTACAGAAGGAAAATGATCCCACATGGAAGCACAGCAATGTCAGCAAAAATCACCAGCTCCAGGAAAGGTGAATATGTGGGTAACTGCAAGACCACTGGCTGCCCTGAAATGACACCAGCAATGTCTTGTGGGATTTATAACATACATGGAATCAAATTATCTCAAACCTCACAAAAAGGGAGGACGGTTAAATAACGTGAAACAAAAAATCAAAAGGCCAGAGAAGAAAATTAAAAAAAAAAAAAAAAAAAGAACAAATGGACAAAGAGAAAAGTGATAAATTCACATGAAAGTGATGGATAACACACAAAAATTCAAAATGCAATGAAAAGTTGAATATAAGACCTGCAACCTTAAAATATGAAGTCGCAGGCAGAGCGCTCTCCAGCTATGCCTCAGAGCCCTCTGCGGCCACATCTCCCAGGCAAGGGAACACAGTGGACCACATCAAGCTAGAAGGCTGCTGCACAGGAAAAGAAACCACTGCCAAAACCCACTGAAGGGGAGGAGATATCTGCAAGTCATACATCCAATGAGGGATTAACACCAAAGTCTACCAGACACAACTCATACAATTCAACAACAAAAGCACCAACAGCCTGATAAAATCATGGGCAGAGGACCCAAACAGACCTCTCACCGATGAAGACAAACACGTGGCAAACAGAAACAGGAAAAAATGTTCATCACTTATCGTCAGGGAAATGCAAATCAAAACCACAACGACATTTCACCTCACACCAGTGAGAAAGGCTGTCTTCAAAAAGACCAGAAGCAACAATTGTTGGCAAGGCTGTGGAGAAATGAAGGCTGTACGCTCTTGGCCGGAATTAAAACAGGTGCAGACACCGTGAAAACCAAAGATACAAAGAGTCAACAAGCAGATGACAAGGTGTATTAATCATCCAGAATGCTTACAAGTAAAAGGCTGACAGCACAGGCACAGGCAGCAACCAGGATGCGGGTTAACTGGAATTTTCACAACCAGTCGCGGGTGTGGCACAACCTAACTAGGAACTGCTGGCCAATTTCTTAAAAAGCTCAGAAGCGTCTAACCTATATATCAGCAATTCCATCCCTACAGAAATATCCGAAAGAAATGAAGGCAGACTCCTACATAAGGAGGATCATACACAAAGGTTCACAGCAGCTCTTACTACTCTAGCCATACATTGGACACAGTCCAGGTTCATCAACAGATGAGTAAGCAAGCCAACTGTATTCATGTACTGGACACTAGTCAGCACTGAAAGAGTGACTACTGATACAAGCAACAACACAGACCAACAGGAGAAACAGCAGCCAAGTAAAAGACAAAAGTACACGCTGTGAGATTCCATCACGCAACGCACAAGGGGCAGTCAGTGAAGACAAGAGACCTGCGTGGTGCTTGCGGGCGTGGGCTTGGCCAGCAGCACAGTAAGGGAGCTCTCTTGGCTTTGGAGAGTATTATAGAATGGATGCTTTGATCAAAATTTCAATTAAAATTCAAGATTATATTACACTACAAATTTTACCAATTAAAAAAATTCAGAAAAATAGCAAAAATAAAAACCTAAGGAATGATTTCAAAAATTTCCCTGACACACTCCTCAGAAAGGTTAGATAAAGTCGGAAAGGCTAAACAACATCAAGTACTGGGGAGGACACAGAGCGTCTAGAATGCTCCTCCGCTTTGCTGGTAGGAGTATAATTTTAATAATTTGGAGATAACAACAAATAAATGAACTCCTACTCTATACCTAGCAATGACACTTTCACACTTTTAAGCCAAAAGAAATCTATGCCCAAAACATGTACAAGAATGTTCAGAGCAGCAGCTTTTGTCACAAGAGACAAAAACTGGAAATAAACCAAATGTTAATCAGTAAGGAAATAGGGAAATTATCTATATATTATCATCTGAAACTGAATGAATCACGGAAAAACACCAAATATTTACCACAAAGATAGACTATTTGATTGAATTTCCCTTTATCCTAAAGTCAGTTAAAAAAAAAAATAAAAAACACTCTTTTAACGTTCATACCACCTAGGAGTCAGTTACTTGACTGAGCAGGAAATGGGTATTAAAAAAAGACAAAGAAAAGCAGTAATCATTTTATTTTGCCTCACGCAAAATCCACAAAAACCCTATTTATGTCAAAATATCTGGCTTCATATAGTATTTGTCAGTCATAATCTGAACACTGACCCTTTTGAATATGTCCTGAAACAAACATGCTTATCTAATATTATTGTACCAATATTATTATATCTAATAATATATAAATATTGTATATTATATATCACATATTATTACATATAATGTATACAGTTATAATACATAATATGCATAACTATGTATACTATATATTATATTGTACTACTAATATTATTATATTATTGTATTATTAATATCTAATATTGTTGTATATTAAGTTAAATATTTAAAAATATCCAGAGATGAGGTCGGGTAGACTGTCCATGAGCTAAGGGAATTAACTAATAGAATTATCATCTAAAATACTTAAATTCTTAAACCTGGAATAAGCAAGAAAAGAGTATAATCTTGGGGGGAGAAATATTTATACCTCGATGATGGATAAAACAAATGTAAATGATGCTCTACACTCTCAATTTGTAAAAATAATGACAAAAATGTAGACTGACTGCTATGTAAGAAAACAGAAGCAGTTTTCCTACTTGCATCCAAAATTAAATTCTACTTAAGCAAAAATACTCTAATTAAATTTTGTTCAACAGAAGAGTTTCTTAAGAACGTTAATTTAAATAAAATTGAGTCAAGAAAGCAAACTCTCATTCTTTGAAAATAAAAGGCAAAAACTGGAAGAAAATGTAAGATCTGCATGTTAGCCTGGTATCTGACAACACCGGAAATTTTTTTTCCGATACCCTTCTGTTACTCCATTTAGAACATCAAATTTTTAAAAATCATGCTGTCATAAAATGGCAATGACAGATGGGAAAGAGGGAAGACATGAAATCAACAAACAATACAAATATATTACATTTTAGTCATAAAATTAAACTTCCTTCATTAATCTTAAACCAGATTTCAAACAAGAAACGGATTAGTTTGAATTTCAGGGCTACTAATTTTGCCAATGACATACAGCACTTTAGCGATGACAAAAGTCCAAAATGTTCACCAAAAAGCAATTCCAATTCCAAGAAGGTAAACGGAGTGAGAAACAATAAAATCCATTCTTCATCTGCAGCCTACCTCCCACTCCCACAAGCCCATTACTATGAGTAATTGGCCTCATCCTCCCCAAAGGGAAGCAAGCAGAGGGGAGAGCTCAGTCATTCCACAGCCTCTCATGAATTACCAAAAGGTCTGTAACCCAGATACTAATCACTTCAACAGCCACACAGTCTTCCATAATGTTCCCTTTCCCTAGTAGGAGGTTGTTATGCTTTCAGCTAACAGCTGAAGAAAAAAATAAGCCTTGAGTTACAATTTTACTGTCTCAGAGAAAATCAAACTGACAATAAATTTCTTCCTAAAGACATTCTAATAGGCCACAAAATCTAACTGTTGCATCCAAGTAAAGCAGTAACTTTAATTCTGAGAATCAGAGACTCTCAGAGTTCCTTAAAAAAATAACTCAGTCCATTTCTAGAAAGTCCTACCAGGTGAATTCAGAGTCCTAAGTCTGACTGTCTAGAATGTAAACTAAAGAATAAAAGTGCAATTCCACTGGGAGAAATCTCGTGACAGTTTTCAAAGCACTGTAATGATCTCCAAGGATGCCCAACAGGCCTGGAAGACACACGCTTGAGTACGTGGGCAGCTAATAATTCGCAAAACAAAGGATATCATTCCAGTAAAAATTCCTGCGTGACTTGCAGGACGAAAACTAAAAATAACTCAAGACACTACTTGGCAAAATATATCTTTTTATACCCCCTGGCGTGACCAAGCTCACTTTCACCATCAAGAATTTAACAAGCTGTACTTCCAAACTTCACCAGGCACCGATTACATACTTTACACGACACATCATTTCACACATGTGGAGTAAATCAGATGAAGAATTAATGGATTAAGAGAGAACAGATAGAGAACAATTCAAGATATGCTTGTATACATGAGTTAGTACACATGTATGTATACATGCATGTTACCCAGTTGTCCACTGAGGGGGTCTAGAGGCAATGACACCCCCCAGTAACAATGAGCATAGTCAGCTCCAGATCCTGACCTCTGATTTCCGAATGCCATTCTTCAGTGAAAGGAAGCAGGGCTCCTTGGGGAAATGGCTGACTGGAGGGCTGAGGCAGGGAAAATAAAAGACGAAGCTGGAATGATCTTTGTTGTACCCGAAAGTAAGCAAACACTCAAATCAGCATTTCTAACTCTTATATCTCATAACAGAAGTTCTGTTCATCAATGGAAGAAAATCCCCTTGCCGTGAGATTGTCCATGTATGTGACTGCCACGTCCCTTCTTTACCCCAACAGATGCAGCCCTGCATTCCTTAATCTCCAAAAGCACATATAGTGAGGGGGGCATACAGAGAGAAGGTCAATGTAGTTGGGGTTAGTCACAAAAATAACTCATACCGTGCAAAATTCAAGCTTTTTACCAGTTCATCTAACACGCGGTTATTTTTCAGGTCTGGCTCTGTGACTGTCTAGAAAAGAAAAACAACAGATGGAAAAAGGTCAGAAATAATAATTAACTTGTCATACTCTTGTTTTTGAAAATGTGTGACCCATCCTCCTGAGATTCCCCACCCCACTAAGACTTCCAGGAAAGCCTCAAAATAAAGTGCACTTATCTCAAACAAATATGAAATTTTAAAACAGTGAATCAGAATCTGCTGACGGAAGTCTGATCAAAGCTCTCCAATGCAGGAGGTAAAAATTACATATAGTCTCTACTACCTCAGATAAAACTTAACATGAGCAAGAATCTTTCTTCAAAGTGCCAAAACTCAGCTTTCCCCAAAATTTCTCCTGAAAAGCAGAAGTGAGCCGCTCTTCTGAATGATACTACCTGGAGGGGCTTCAAGTGTCCAAAGAGAATTTAAAAACAAGATGGGCAGCATGCCCACTCCCTGTTTCTCCTTCACTTTGGGAGGACGGCTGTGTCAGGACAACTACCCTGGCTTCCAGTGTCTTGCTGAAAGCTCAGATGTGAGGCCTTCTGGCCAAGCGTCTGCAATTTCATAGTGCTGGCACAGTCACCGTCTCCCTGAGGGCTGCAGCTTTCTGTAAGTTTGCTGTGGTTGAACCAATTAAGGAGGTAGACTCAAATTTCTATAGAAATTATGCTTCCATGAAAGATTTTGAGGAGATGAGGAAAGCTGGTTATCTTTCAGAACACAAACTGATCTTGAAACATACTTTGGCTTGACTTCCATGAAAGTTGTGACCTATGTTCCTCAACAGAATCATTTGGGCTAAGGAATTTTCTCCTGATAAATACAGGGAGAAAAACAAATACTGGGAGAAAAACAAAATAAAATAAAAATAAGATCAGTTTTCAGGACTACAGGAGGAAAATGACAAGCGCAGCCGTGATTTAGCATGAGTGGCAAGCTTCATCGGCAGCACCATCGTGAGAAAGGCAGTAAAGACACCATGTGCCTCAGGGAGTGCCAAACAACCCAAACCCAAATCCTTCCCCTGGACTAGCTGTCCTCCCTACTAGACCTGACTGTCTCTCCTCTTTCTTCGTTCCTACTTATGTGTACTTTTCCTTCTCACCTACCTTTTCTCCTTTTCACTACTTGAAATGCTTGAAGAAAAATAACAACAAATTTCTGAGTTTGTTCCCTGAAGGTATGGGTTGGGAAAGAGGTAGAGGAACAGCGAGGTTGGTTCAGCCCCAAAGCCACGAATCTTGGCTTTCTGCAAAAATACCTGCCGCCGGCATCTGCGAACAAGCAGTCGGTCCTTCCACGGAGCTTCTGCTCAATGTGAGAAATGATAAAAAACGACCCAGAAAATGCAGGTCCTAAGACTTAAAGAGTAGCTACATCCTGATCTTAAAGTGAGTGTCTCCTCCTCCTCATACATTTAGGTTCTCAGAAGTCTAAGTGAGAACTGAAGAAAGCCCAGTTCCCCGTACCTGCATCTCGCAGGTCCTCTGTGAGAACGCCTTCCATACAGTGTAACTCATCATGACACAGCCTCCTGGGCTTCCGTGTATACGTCACACAGAAATCTTTGCACCCATGATTTTTTTAAAAAGGAAAGAAAAAACTCACCACACGACAAGTTGGACACTGTGTTTTATAGGACAGAAATTTTCTTATACAGAGAGAACAATCTGCAAAAACACAAAGGTAACAGAATGATTAGTACAGTAACATTTAAAATAAAGGGGCCTGTATGGGGAATATAAAAATAAAATTTATTATTAAAAAATAAATAAATAAATAAATAAATAAAATAAAGGGGCCTGGCTTCAAACAAAATCTGACCTAAGTCCTAGAATACTCTCCTCACCTAAGGAATACCATTATCATGTCAAAATTCTAGTACCGCTAACTCAGCCTCACTTGCCAATGTGATTAAAAGGCATTCTGAGGAGAGGGAGACAGATCAGGCCACAGTGACCCCGAGCCCCCAGGACCCCAGAACTCTACCAGCAAGAGCACGCTCCATCTCCTAGCGGAACGTGCAGGAAACCCACGCATCAGTCAGACCAGGGGATGGATGTGGTGTGACATGCCGGCCAGGCTACTGCCCGACGTTCTAGTATATACATTTTGAGTTAAGAGATATATACACACAGTAAGAAATAACATATTCTCAGATTATCAATTTAGAGATTTCTACATGCCTACCTGAAATGTGCATCATCCCACATTTAACTAGTGCTTTTGTGGCACACGGCAGGGAAAGCCCAATCCTCAGGAAAGGTCCCTGACCCAGGAGCTACCAAAGGAGTGAGGTAATGATACAACAGTCGGTACAGCGGTTCCTAATTATTTGAGAAATCAGCATAAACTAAATCCTCCACATCCCAGGCCATGGAAAATGATTTCCCAGTCAAAGAGAAAAAAAGAGGTGACCAAGAGAACGGTTCCTTACTGGCAGCTAATTTACTAGTAACTCAAACTCAGTTCAGGGAAAGGGTCTCATTAAAATGGGTTCAGTTCAGTTAAGAAAGGACAGTAAGATGTCAGAGACAGATATCCAGAAAACGAACAAGTCGTGACAGTCTGAGGAACAGCACCCAGCAGGGAAGAGAACACACTCTAAAGAAGACCCAACAAGAAACAAGTTCAGGTTCTTTCGGGAAACAAAGATGAATAAAGGGGGACCGCCCAGCTCTGCCACAAGGGAGCAGACAGAAGGTATCGCTCTAGCTACAGGTACAAAGTTCAATAGATTGGAAAACCAAGAACGCCTCCCCCTTATCAGGAAACTCACAAGGGGTGGCGACAATGAGGAGAGACTAGAGCGCTCGCCCACCGTCGGCGGGAACATAAACCGGTACGATCACTAAAGAAAACAGCCTGGAGGGTCCCCCCAAAAATTAAAAATAGAACTACCACATGATCCAGCAACCCCACTTCTGGGTATTCATCCTAAACAACTAAAAAGAGAATCTCAAAGAGATATCTGTACTCTGTGCTGACAGCAGGGCCAAAGGCGGGAGGAAGCCAAATGGCCACCGACAGATGGACAGATAAAGAAGACAGCGTCTAGACGGACAGGGGGGTAGTCACCAGTCTTTGAAAAAGGCGGTGCTGTTATATGCTACGCCACGGATGCACCTCGAGAGCTAAGCTCAGTGAAATAAGCCAGTTACAGAAGGACGAATGCCACGATTCCACTTACCTGATGGATCTAGTCAAACACATAAAAGGAGAAAGCAGACCAACTGGCTTTTGCCACAGCCACAGGGAGGGAGAAGCGGGGAGCTGCTATGAAGTGGGTATAGAGTTTCAGTTACGCGAGATGGAAGTGTTCTAAAGGTTTGCTGTGTAACAATAACATCCAGTTAACAATCTTTACTGTACATTAAAAATGTGTTACTAGATTTCCTGTTATGTTTATGATAGGACCCACCTCTTGTCCCCCCCCCCCAAAAAAGAAAGCCCAAAATAAATAGCCCTTCGATCATCATGCCCCACTTCACAACAGGGACACATTTTGAGACCTGCATCATGAGGCAATTTCGCTGCTGTGCAAACGTCAGAGCCAAACGTACAGCCTACTTCCTGCGCAGGCTGTGTGGTCGAACTCCTGCTCCTAGGCTGCAAGCCTCACAGCAGGTCACTGCGCTCAACCCCACAGGCAGCCCCACCATCATGGTATCTGCATGTCTAAGGGCACGAGACACAGGGGAGGTGAAGCTGCGGTACCAGAGAGCAGAGGCCGTCCACTCGCACAGGCCTCCTGGCGTGCCTGGAGCTGCGGGCCTGGAAGCTGCATGGGTGAGTGAGTGGTGAATGATAGCCCAGGGCGTTCCTGTACAGCGCAGACTCCGTAACACCATCCACTCAGGCCGCGCTGGAGTGATAAAGAGCGCCTGTCTTTGTTCCATGATGAATAACCTTGGCCTACCATTCTATTTTTCAATTTTTGACTTCTGTAGTAACAGACACTGTGCAGCAATACAAAGTATTTTCTTTCTTTATATCCTTATTCTATAAGGTTTTTCTCTTTTTAATTTACTTAAACCTTTTTTTTAAAAACACTAACTTTATTTTTTTTATGATTTATTTATGCATACAAGAACTGGGGTGTAGGCCAGAGGTGCATGGGGGGTGGGTGGCAGGATTCCCCAGAAATAGAGTAGGTGGCAGAATAGGAGGATCTACTGAAACACAGTGCTGAGGGGAGCAGCAGGTGAGGCAGGACAGGTCTGCTACGCCATGTGAGTAGCTCCCTAGCGGGGATCCAGCTCGGGCCACAACGGCTGACAACAGTTCCATAGTGCTGAGATTTAACCCCTTGCGCCACCAGGGAGGCACTTCTTCATTAAAAACTAAGACACACGTCAGCCCAAGCATGCACAAGGTCAGGATCACCAGGACCGCTGTCTCCACCACCTCCTGCCCCCAGAGGCTCTTCAGGGGCAGTGACTCACGGGGGGCTGGCATCTCACAGGATGTGGACGCCTATTTCTGGACCTGTCCTAAAGGGCCTGCCTGCAACGCTTCTGGAAGAGCTGCCGCCCTTTTCAGAAATATGTTCACGGTGGTCTGCTGGGTCTCTTTCTCATCCTAGATTTGCTTATAAGCAGATACCGCGCCATGAATATTCCTCTCTACGAATGAAAAATCTCCAGACCTTTTATGGAGATGGTTGAGGTCTGCAAAAGCTTCTGCTAAACCCTTCACTATGAATTTTCCTTGGGGTTCTTTTTCCCTGTCCTGCTGCCTCCTCAGCTGTGCATTTCCGCTCCAGTTCCAACAATTCCTGCTCAGCCAGTTCCTCAGGAACCACCTCGAGGAGCCTCTCGACATCATTCTCATCCACACCCAGGTGAAAGCTGCCATCTCAGGCACGGCCTTGCGGATTCTTACATCCTTGGTATTCCACCTTCGTCCTCGGTAAGCCCTGCGACGTCATGGACAAATCCCTCCAGTGTCTTCTTCCTCACACACTCCCGCGTGCAGGTTCTTGACGCAGTCACAGATGTGGTAATGCTTCCAGAACAGCATCAGTGTCGTCATCACTTGCAGAGACGGTCCAGGGAAAGGTCCTCAGGGAGCAGTTCTTAGGAACTACTGTAACTCTTTGATGCATGGGTCGTGTATAGAGATTCACCACTTTGACATTGGGATGGAGATCACTAATAAAAGGAGGATGTGCAGGAACATTATCAACAATAAGCAAAACCTTAAAAAGCATGTCATTGCAAACAGAACGTCTCTATTTCACTGGCATAGCAACTCAGGAGGGCATCTTGGTAGAGGAGCTGGGTCATGACCTCACTGCTCCAGTAGTGACAGGCAGTGTGTGTTTATTAACATGTCTCCAAGCAAGAGTCAGGCGAAGTGTGTCTCTTATTGCCACCCTCCTACTAGGTTTTCTCTATGGAAACTTTCACCAAAGCTACTAATATCCACTAAAACCATTTTTTTTTAAGCCTAACTTGCACCCAAGACCTACAGTACAGAAAATACACTCTAGACTGGGGATGAACAAGTAAATTTCAATACATGCATCTTTCCAGCACCACACAGCAAGTTGTTAAGTGACAAAAGCGATTACAATAGCCTTCACTGGGATTTCAACCACCTAGCTGCTCTGCTGTTAATAAAAATCCTGAAATCTAACATCTAAGAGTTTTGCAAATATGAAACTATATATGGTAACCAAAATAATTACTGCCATAAATGTTTAAGAGGCATAAAAATATCCATGTGGGAGGTGGTAGAAAATATAGGAGCCTTGTAAAAACTTCAATATTCAAGAGGGAAGTGGTGGAAAATCGATCTTCTGAGGACTTCAAGATAGAAGAAGTCAAGGTAAGAAATGAAAATGTGTACTGTGGTGTTAAATTAACACTATGTAAAACCCATTTCTTACTAACTCACAGAACACTACATACTTACAGTTATGTGAGCACTGAGGAATCATCACTGCAATGTTGAAATATTCAAAGCAAATTCCACACCGCAGCAAATCATCTATCGTCTGAAATGCAAAAGGAGAGTCATATCTGAGACACCCAGACTAGAACACCTGCGCACAGCTGTCTCCATTCCCTGATTAAACTATAAAGTAACAATCCTTTGTCAAATATACAAACTCAAAAGCTAACACCATAGAAACTGCAGGTTCACAGCGTGCGCTCAACCACACCACCTGTGCCACCAGGGGAGGCCCGCAGCCTCTGCAGCGCGGGTTCGATCCCGGCCAGCTGGCAAGAATCCCACATGGCACAGGAGACAGGAGAATGCCACATGGCACTGCTCCCCTCAGCAGTGTATTTCAGTTGAGCTGCCTGTTCTGCTCCCCGCTCTGTCTCTGGTGAATCCTCTCACCACCCCCACTGCGCTTCTGGCCTGTACCCCAGTTGTTGTATGCATGAATAAATAAATATTAAAAAAAAAAGGAAAAAAAAAAAAGAAACTGCAGGGGATCAGAACAGACAGAGGGCTTCCCCGGTAGCGCAGCGGTTGAGCGCTGGGTTGCGAAGCTGCCCGCAGCCTCTGCAGCGCCAGTTCGATCCCTGGCTGCTCCCCGGCCACCAGGGGAGGGTCCCACATGGCGCGCAGACCTCTCCTGCCGCCCGCTGCTCCCCTCAGCAGTGTACTTCATCAGTCTGCCTGCTCTGCTCCCTGCTCTGGCTCTGGTGAATTCTCTCACCCTCCTGTGCTTCTGACTGTACCCTGTGCTTGTATAAATAAATAAATAAATCTTAAAAAAAAAAAAAAAAAAAAGAACAGACAGAGGAAAACCTTCCCTCTTGAAAATGTGACTCTCACACATTCAAGTGTCTGGTTATCCCCACACCTTAGACAGACACAGCGGCGCTACAGATTGCTGTGCCACACCATCAACCCTTCACAAAAGGGCTGTTCTGTTCCTGCTGACTTCCCACGTGTTTCTGGCTTGAACTCCAAGCCTCCTCCCTCCTCACACCCCATGCCCAGCCTACGGTCACTGGGGGTGAAAGGTACCAGAGCAGTCACCACCCAGGTTAGGGACCAATCAGAGAATATTAAAGCATTAAAATTATCTAGCTAAGCCCTTACTTCACAAATCAGGAACTTGTATCCAGAGCAGACACACTTGTTGGCATGACTCAAGCCAGCAGGAAACTTTCTGCCTCCCTCCGGGCAGTCAGGCCGCCCCTCTGTGCAGTACCACAGTACCACGGCTCGTCACTACCCAGGAGAGCCCAGTGAGGATGTCCTGGAAGGGCTGGAGAGGATACAATCCCAGTAGGATGAGGAAACTCTCACAACCTGAGTTTTCAAAATCATCTAAAATAAAACGTGACTTCACTAAATAGAACACTCAGCAGATACTTAAGAAAGCAGGAGGGAGCTCTCCTGTGGCCCGGCATGGAGAGATGACCAAGAAAAGGAAGGAGGAAGGAAGGAAGGTGCAGACAGTCTGAACTGTGTTTTACCTTTTTTTATATTTGCTGAAAAGTGAGGCGGGATAGAAAATATTCCCCTTTTATCTTATTTATAATACAGAGAAATTCTGAAAAGATACACAAGAAAGTAATAACAGTCCATAGAGGGTCACAGGGGCCAGGAAACAGGACACAGGAAGAGGAGGGAGGGATGACATTTACTTTTTATCTCAGGCGCCGACATTGCAAAACTACAAACACCAAAAAGACTAATGTCACCAGTAGTTCCAGATGATGAAATTATGTAACCATTTGAAAAATTAAGCTTCCAAACAATAGTTAATGCCATGGGGAAACGTTCAATCAGACAGCAAATCTACAACAGAAACACCTAGCTACGGAACCAGGAACTTTGATCTCCGTCACAATCCTCTGACGTCTAAGGAGGCGTCTGCAGCCCAGTTTATAGAGGAAGCTTACAGCGCTTCCAAGTGGTTGGATCAAACCCAAAGCGCTAAAACCAAAGTGAGCCCAAAATGTAAATACATGCACATACTGTGGGTGTGTGCACAAGCACACTCAAGAGAAGCTGGAAGACAACAAGAAAGCTAACCAGTAGTCATCTCTGGAGGGCAGACTGATGGGTAACTTTCATTTTCTTTTATCTCACTATAACCTTAATTTTTTAAACTATATACACATACTACAGTTACAATCTGCAAAGTAGAAGTTTCTGTTATAGTACAACCAGGGAAATTGAAACAAAATGTCAAAACCTCCACCATGTGGACGGCGAGCCACCCATCACACAGCAGCTAAAGGACTGTTTGGAAAATCTTTTAAGGAAGCAGAGCCCTGGCATTTGGTCTATGGCATGTTTTCTACACAACTATCCTCTGTGCAGAAGGAGTGGTTCTGACAGATCTGAGGAGGATTTGTGGGAGGCGATAACCACAGCAGGTGACCTGGAACATCCTGGTACAAACTTCCTGACAGGCCACTTCAAGACAGTAACATGCACCTCAGATGACTCAACCAAAACAGCAAAGTCTGAATAGAGAGGGGTCAAGTGGATGCCCCAGATTTATTTCTTTAAACGAGAGGGAGAAAATGGGAGTGAAGAGAATTAACAAAGAGAGCAAAGGTTCTTAAGGTTTTCGGGTCACAGATCCCTTTGGGGAAAATGGTGAAAACTAAGGACTCTCTTCTCAGAAACATGTACACACAGGGGAAAATCTTACAAATAACTGTAGACCCCGAAGTCCTCCCAAGGATCCCAGGTCAGGAACTGTGGCTTGAGTCGGGGTTCTACTGAGTGTAAGAAAGACCTTCAAACAGCACTACCTCCGGGAGCAGCTAGCTCTCTGCCCTTGAGGTGCTCAGGGAAAATGAGGCGAGGAACTGGCAGATAAGTTATAAAAGGAGTGAAAATAGTAAAGGGAGCTGGCTTCCAAGCTTCAGAGCACGAGCTTCCAATACAGGCTTCGTTAACGCCACCATCGAACACTTTCTGGTGCTGACCCCTGGGGTCAACGTGGGGATGATGCCAAAGCCAGAGAAGACAGAGAAGACAGGGAACCTGCCCCTGAAGAAGACCGGGACCTTGGGGGGGAGGGGGGGGATAGCAAATCCGCTTCCATCTGACAACAGCAGCTTTAGAAATGCGTGCTTTCACTTCCTTTATCCAATTCAATCTGCACCACCGCAAATAAAATGAGAGGAGGGGTTCTTAAATGTTAATAAAGTGTATTAACTGATGTTTGCTACTTTCTAGATATCACCAACTGATTCCAAAATTTCTGAGCACCCACTGCATGCCAGGCATTATGAACAGTGAACAAACCAGGGTCCTTATTCATACATCAACTGATATAACCAAGTCTGTATGTGAGCTATCTTTGTCTCCAGTTTATAACTGAGGAAATTCAGACTCAGAGAAGCTAAGTTACTGACTTTGAATCAGAGTCAAAATAAGAGGAGACCAGGGCCTCCCCGGTGGCGCAGGACGCTGAACGCCGCTTTGTGAAGCTGTCCACAGCCTCTGTAGCGAGGGTTCGATTCCCGGTGGGCCAGGGAGATTCCCACATGGCGCAGCAGACCTCTCCTGTCTCCCCGCTGCTCCCCTCAGCAGTGTGTTTCGTCAGTCTGCCTGTTCTGCTCCCCACTCTGGCTCTGGTGAATCTTCTCACCCTTCCGCGCCTCTGGCCTGTACTCCGGTTCTTGTATAAATAAATAAATCTTTAAAAATAAAGTAAGAGGAGCCCAGATTTAACTCAGGACCACTGAAACCGGAATCTGTGTTCCCCACTGCACCTTAGGGCCCAGGCCCTAAGTCAAGTTCAAAACCACAGCTCTTCTGGATCCTCCCACAGCCTCACTTCTTCACCCTCGGGCTCCCTCCAGCCCAGCACCGCAGGTGAGCGGATGACAGCAGGAAGAACAGGCCCAAAACGTGCTCCAGCTTCCTCCAGTCCCTTCCCTGGGTCCCCAGCGGCCAGACACCGCGGGGACCCCACACCCCAGGAGCAGGAGCAGGAGGAGCCGCAGCCCTGCCGCCGTCAGAAGCAGAAAGAACCGGAGAACACGACGCTAAACCACCCGAGCGCCCCGGCTGCGGGCCCCCCCCCCCCGGGGGTGTCCGCGGGGGGCCCGGGCCCGGCGTCCGCGCGAGCCGCCCCCGTCCGGGCTCGGGGCAGGCGCCAGGGGGCAGGTGGGGCCCGCCAGGCAGCACCGGGGGGTGATTGGGGGGCGGGGGGTAGCTGGAAGACTCGAGAGAGGCCGGGGGAGGAGACCACCTGCCTGGCTGCGCCACCGAGCGAGCGTCCCCCGCCAGGGCGCCCCCGCTCCCGGCCGCACCCCGACCCGGGCCAACGGCCGCGCGGCTGCGCGACGCGGGCGCCCCGCCCGGGCACCCCCGGAGCGGCCCGCGGCCCCCGCCCAGGCCCCGGAGGCCGGCCTCCCGCCACACCCGCGCCGGGCCCCGGGCTCTCACCTTCATGACGGCCAGCCCCGGCGGCCAGCGCGGCTCGGCGAGGGCGTCCATGGCTCTCCGAGGGGCCCGGGGGCGCCGACACCCGCCGCCGCCCGCGCTTCCCCGCCACTCGAAATTCCCCGCGCTCCCGCGCACGTCAGCTGTGCGCTACTGGGCCACGTCAGCGGTGAGCGACGCTCCGAGCGTGCGCAGAGCCTGACGGGAGTCGTAGTCCCCGGCGGAGCGGCGGGGCCACCACTGCGCACGCGCCGGGCTGCTGCTGCGGGGCCGGGCCGGGCGCAGGGCAGGAGGGCCCGCCCGGGGGTGAGCACGTGCAGGGGGCATGCCAGGGGCAGGCCGCCGCCGGAATCAGACCGCGGCTGGGCCTTGCGGGATCTTCCGAGGTCCAGGCCCCGACCCCCTCCTTCAGGTCGCCCCTTCTGACTGCTGGAATGACCTGGCCCTCTCTGGGCCGCGGTGACAGCCTCGTGTCATCTTGACAGCAGCTGCTGCTGCTGTCCTTGCAGGAGAGACGCTCTGCCCAGAAGGGGAATTGCATGTCCCTGGGTCCCTCCGGGGCATTGGCCAGGAGGC